TGGCATTGAATCTGAATTGAATTCATCAGCTATTAACATACCGTAAAATATCCAGAATAAAGTAAAGACCACAAAAAGGAAATTGATTATGGTATTGATGAAGATACCGACATTCTCGGTTCTATAAATAAAGAGCTTAGTGAATCAGATCACATGACATTACAGAAGTCTAATTTCCGAATTTACATACACAGCTCCATCGTCTCTGGCCTGTTCGGGAGTAGAGTAAGTTGCGTTTGGGGTTTTACCAGGTCGAATGATGATAAAATAATTTTGAAGACTTGTGCCTATTTTATATATCAAAGCGCGACTTTAAATAGGTAAATCTTAAATTAACACGATAAAATATTTTATAATATCTACCATAGGAAATCAAACCAAGTGGTGGTGTCAAAATATCGCTCTGATTTTTTAAGAGAAAATTCGATGTTATCGATTATCACCTTGAAGCTCGAGAAACCTGATTTATCACAGTCACTCACCACAAATGAATTGACCAACATGCTAAATGCAGAACCGATGATTATACCTTAGCGAGAAAACCAAGAAAAAAATTCATGAATTTAGAAAACGAAAAATGCGTTCCGTTCATCTTTGCACATATTTCTACATACCAATACCCAAGTCGACAACATTTCCTCCCCTATTATTCAGAAAATCTTTAAAATCTTTCCAAATTCCTGAACACATTTTATTATTACAACAAAATTTAAGAATCCATGTGAGGAAGAAATTCTCATTTTATAGCTTTAGCGTGGAATCTTACCGCTTCACCTTGTGATCAATTTGTGTACGTACTTTATTTCTTGTCAAACTAATTTAATCTTATCGTCAATCTTGTGCCATCATCGTAGCCTTTAAAAAGAAAAACGTGCGTGAATACGTAATACGTAATGTTATTTATTCATTACGTAATGATTTACAGTTTTTAATTCTCCAAAATGAATGATTCTTCCTCTAATTCCCTAGCCCCACCACCTCCTTTACCACCACCTCCTTTATTACCGTTACCACCATCCGATGGATCTCAATCATCCTCTCCTGCTCCAACCTCATCCCTCTCTACCCACGACAACATAGAATCGAGTAAATCCCGCATCACCACCATTACATCTCACGATAAATTAGAGTCTCCTGATGGTGATGCCATTGATTCCACAAAATTATCTCAAACCCAAAAAATGCTTCAACAATTATTGAAAGACCCTTTATTGTCGGATCTGGCAAAATTGAACAATGAAGATAATATCAGCTTGGAAGAAGTGGATACTTTGATCGCTTTGGAAACTGGTACTGCATTCGAAATAAGAATTGAACGAGATGGACTAGAACCAATTGGTACGTTCGGGAAATTTTCACGGTAAAATTTAGGCAACAATAATTAACAATGTACTATATCACCTAAAAGTTTTAGTGGTTCGACAGAATTCTACAATTGCCGATATAAAAAAATTAATTAAATTCAAGATTGAACATCAAAGAAAACAAAACATTCAACCTGGTTCGAAAAGAAAAATCAGTTGGTATGGAACATAATTCATTTGTACCAAAAGTTCTTAATTCAATCAGTCTGCTTTTTAGCCAACTAATTGTTTTATGCAAAATAGGAAATACATTTGGAAAACCTATTGTCTGATTTTTGAAAAAAAACGATTGTTACAAGACAAAATGCCCATACAAGAATACGGTATCCGTAGTGGTAGTGTATTAAGATTTTCGAGGTTCATAGGGAAACAGGCGCAACAATTGAACAGGAAATAGGGTACGCATATCCTTTTGTTATCTATCATTGCTCGATTCTGCATGGTTGTCATCTTTGGGACGCCGAGACAAATCACCAAATTAAAATATAATAAAAATAATAAAATTCTTAATTAAAGTAATATATTTTGTTATTTTTATTTTTATAAATAAATAAATATATAAGATTCATTTAATCTTTTATAAGAATACAGTTATACAAAGAACTTGATTAATTGCATTAACTTATTTATAAACTTGAACATCTATTTTAAACATAAATAAAAGAAGTTGTTATAATTGAAAACTTAAGATCAAAATTTGCAATTTATTGCTACAATTCATTTGATAAAATATTAAAATATAATAAATAATAAATATATTAATTTATATTAAAATAAAATTTCAAATTCTTTTGTTAATTCTTTTGCCAACTTATAAGATTTTTATTTTTATAACTTAATAATTCTAATTTTTTAATAAGTAGTACAAATAACAATTACCATTTGTTTTTTGTTTTTTTTTAAAAAAATTTTTATTTATTTATTTTTATAACGAATTAACAAAAAATTTATTTAAAATCTATAGCAAAAATGTTTATATAAAAAAAAAGTTAATAAAAAAAATTATACTTCAAAAATTTTTAAAAGATTTATAAATTTAAAAGGTTTTTTTTTTATTTTTTTTTTTAAAAAAATTTTAACTTTTTTTTGTCAGGTATATATATTTTTTAAAAAAAAAAATTGTTTATTTTAATTTGATAAACTTTTAATTATATTCGGATTTTTTGAAAAATTATTGATTAAAGTTATAAATTAATTAATTTTTTTTTTTTTACTACAAATAAATATAAAATACAAGATTTTATTTAAATAAATATAAAATATAAGACTTTATTTAAATATTAAGTTTACTGTCATTACATTAAGTATCTATTTAAGTTAATACAAACCTATTATATATAAAACTTTTGAAATAATATTATATCAAGTAGATGATATTATATCAAAAATAGTTTATAAATAGTTTATATCTATTCATAAACAGCTATGTTAGTAATAGAAAAAATAAAATTTTTAATGATTGAATTTTGGATATATTGTCTAGATCCATGAAATCATGATAGCAACTTTTTTTGATTAAGATTTTGTTAATTGAATTTTGATATTGTTGCTTGAACCTATGAAATTATATGGCAACTGAAAAAAAGCTAAGTAAAACATATAAAAAATTCAAAATTTTTAAATAAGTATAGTATTGAGATTATTGTACTGAATAAAAAAACCATTGGAATATTGTAATATAATATTATTATTGTTGTTGTTACAGATAGATTTGAGCCAGTTTAATTATTATTG